TGTGTGTGTGTGTGTAGGTTACTGGTGGACGCTCTGGACGACTGGCTCTATAAGAGTTGGATGAATAAGGTTCTGTCGGCGCTGAAGCACTGCTGTGGTCGCGCTCTGAGACACGAGCTTCAGCGCCAGAGCAGACTGGTGGATCTTCTCACTCAAGTGGCAGAGAAAATCCGCACAGCTGACAAAAACAAGAGAAAGGTCTGCTAATATATCAGGCTCATTTGCCTTGGAAAAACAGAGAAACCCAACATAGAAAGCCTTACCTTAACAAGATCCTTTTTAGGTTCTGAAATTAAATTAAAAAAAATTTTGGTTTTTGTGCAGGACGTGTTTCGCCGAGAGAGATGGAAGATTGTGAGCTTTTTTGCTGATGGACAGTCCTGCAGGCTTCCATTAGATCCAGCGGTCGTGGTCAAAGCTGTGAATATTGAGGTACATTCAATAAATGCATTTGTGAGATTTACTGTGCATGAGCGATTAGTAATAAACGCAGTCTCTGTGATACAATCTATAGACCATTTTTCTGTGAGAAGGAGCATAACTGAGCAGAAACGTCCTTTTCTGATATTTTGGTCGTGATTTGTGATCTGACTACAGTATACTGTCTAAAATCACGCTCAGAAAATGTAAAATGAGGCCCATTTTTGAGGTATTTGAGTATAGTTGTTACTGAACTACAAGATTAGGTTATGTGTGAACATGATAGACCACTGGTGTCACTTTCAAGAGCTTGAGTTTCTGGTTAAATCCATCACTGCTAGTGATATAAATGTTTCTTTACGATGCATGAAAACTGTATATGTCTCTCAGTCTTTTAAGGTTTTTAATTCAAACGCAGCGCCCATGGAAGTGTCCTTCATCACGGCCGACCCGCTGGGCCAGAACTACAGCCTCATCTGCAAAGTATGAAGATCCTTCACGAGCTACGGGGAATGTAGTTTGTCAGCGCTCGTTGAATTCATCTTAAAGTGTGATTTTCGCTGTGTTTTGGCTCAGACTGGAGATAACCTGCGGCAGGACATGCTGGTGCTGCAGATCGTGCGTCTTCTGGACCGCATGTGGAGACAGGAGGGACTGGACATGAGGATGGTCACGTACAGATGCATTTCTACTGGACGAGATCAAGGTCAGTCAGACGACGAAAGGATTGTCAGGAAGATGTGGGTCTCTGCCGTTATAATCATATTGATAAATTGCGATCCTTTACTCATCATATTGCATCAGTACTTTAGTTTTTTAAATTTAGTTTGCAGCTCAATCGTATAATTTCCTGAACATCAATCAGATGTCTAAATAAGTGTAAACCTGACTGAATCTGATCAACTCTCTCTCTCACGGACATGCTGGCTCTCTGTCGCTCGTTTGCTGCAGATTCACACACAATCTGCTTATGATTTAGTGATGCATCAGAGTGTTGTTGAATGATGACGTGTATGTGTGTCATATCAGGAGAGGGTGATACTTTCCTGTCAGGAGAGACGAGGCCGGCTCAGGTTGCTCTGTTTTGAAACCTTGAAGACACATTTATTAGGTCATGCTTTTCTGAGATGCTCTCTAGATGAAGGCAGCTCAAAAAGTTCATGGAGATCTGCCTTCAGACTTCAGTTCCAGCCACACTCCACCGGTCACGTGTTCCTGAAGATCTCGGCTAGCCGCTTCACACGTGTGTTTGATTAGGGTTGGAGCTGAACTTTGAACACCTCTGTTCAAATAGTAGATAAGTAGGACTAACAAGGAAGTTTTGAGTTTTTTTTTTTTTAATAGTACAATGGCCTTATCTGTGCCAAAGATCATTTTGATTCTTCAGTGAATGATCCCATTAAATGAGACTCATTTAGAATGCCGAACTAGCTGAGCCAGTGTTGGGCATGTTCTCCCCGTGTCGACGGATTTCTCTCTCAATCCAAAGACATTCTCTGTTTTTGCTGTAAGAACGGAATTGATTTTTGTAATCGACTCCATTGGTGCCAAAACCTGAAATTGCAGTCACTAATAATATCCTCTTTGCATTACAATACTTTTTATTAGATAAAAACAGTCAAAATAATAAAATAACAGCAGTTTTTGTTTTACTGTAGTTAATGCGTACAGTTCAGTTTAAGATAAGAAAGTAAGAGCTGGTGTCATGAATGGTTGGGTTCAGGTTTAGTGGAAGTGGTGCGTGACGCCGTGACGCTGGCGAAGATTCATCAGGAGTGGGGTCTGTCTGGAGCGCTGAGGGAAGACACCTTAGAGAAATGGTTTCATATGAGGAACAAGACCAAAGAGGACTACGAGAAGGTCACACACACACACACACACACTCACGCACACACACACATACATACACGCGCACACACACACTCACACACACACGCACTCGCACACACACACATGCACTCACACAAACACGCTCACTCACACACACACACAAGAGGAGAGCCGGACTGATCTGGTCTTTGTCCTGTTCTAGGTTCCCGAGCTGGTTTAACATGTCCTTTACACCGGGCCGGAAGATGTCTCTGCTGAACAAGTATCTGAAGGAGCTGTTTGAAGGACCCTGCAAAGGGGTGAGTGAGTGCCGCCTCTGTGCCGCTTCCCAGTACTTTACCTCGCACTTTCATTTATATTTCATCATGTCTCTAACAGAACGAATACGTCTGCAGCCTGTTTCTGGACGGACCAAACGCTGCGGTCAAGTCAGGTAAAGACTCTTCCTGGACGATGACTGATGATGCATGAGAAGTGCTCCACATTTCACTGTTGTTTGCAGAGGACTCTTAATGGTTTTAATGGTTTACTGCCAGCTTGCATTCATAATGATCAAATGAAACGGTGCTCTTACTTTCAGTTTAAAGTTACTGGATATATGTCAGTTGCATGGCTTTGATTTGCTTCAGGGATTCATTCACATATTTTACTTCCAACCCTGCGATTTTTCTTCTTCTGTTTAAATTTGTCTGAAAATGTTTTTGTTTTGCATTTGTTCCAGAAACAGACGCTCATGTCCGACCGCAGATTCAGCTCTACCTGTCTTATAAAGACTATAAGTTATCTGTGATGATAAAGCATTTGAAAAATATCGTGAGTCTTTTTTTTTTTTTCAACCCATTATTGTTCTTGATTTACTTTAAGCCTTTATATATAATGCATTATACAATAATTTTTAATGCATTAATTATGCCTTGTAAAATTGTAAAATCTCATGAATAACTGTAACCACAGTTATAATGCATTATACTTATCTATTCACTGTTGCACCTTATAATGCGTTAAAACACATGACAGACAAACCTTCAAATATTATAATGCATTTTAACTTTGGTTATAATTATTTATGAAAAGTCATTACAACGTACATTATGAATACCTTTATAATGCATAGTACATAAAAGGCTTTAAGTGTTACCAAAAATCATTTTGACGTCTTTTTATCCCCTTAAAATTGCACTTTTGCCATTAGAAATTGTATGATTTGAGGTTTGGCTTACGAAATGTAAGATTCTGTTCTGGAGTTATATTTGTTCACTTTTACTAATGTTTTCAGCTGCATGAGTGTAAACTCTTATTCTGAAGCAGAATTGTGTGTGTGCTGTCGTTCAGAGGCTGTCTAACGGCTCGTGCCCGGATGCATATGTGGTCACGCGACTGAGACCTGACCCGCAGGACAAGACCAAGAGGAAGACCAAAGTGGTCCGCAGCAATGACAATCCCACGTTCAATGAACTGGTATGGGAAAGCCTTTCGGTTCTTTGAAATGCATTTGATGAGTAGTTCTGCTGTTGCTGACGTGTGCGTCACATCTGAACATTAGTCTCCTCTCAGACCTGTGGCTCTCTCTTCAGATCGAGTACAGGAACATGCACAACCTCCACGGACACGTGCTGGAGGTGACGGTGAAGAGCAGGAAGACCTTTGTAGCGGCTACAAACGTGGTTCTGGGAGAGAGAGTTCTGGACCAGGAGAAGTGGTTTCCTCTGGGCTTCTCGGCCGTTTAAAGCATTACTGAAGCACTCGAGTGAACATGAAGGCTGTGTCACAGAACCATCAGCGATGCACTTCTGATGGAGATCACGGAGTATGGAGGACAAATGTTGATCAGTATTAATGGAGCTCATTAATGAAGAACGGTTTAGATGCCAGGCCTGGTTTCTCCTCCACGGTCACCTGACGGAGTTTGGGTTTCTCGTCTCGCTCATCAGAGACATAAAGACTGTCACGGTCCTATTCTCTGTAGAGCTGTACTTGAAGTTATATTTGAAACGACAGATGTCTAAAACTGAACTTGGTGATACTGTGAAGCCGCTTTGAAGCAATTGCTATTGTATGAAGTGCTATATTAATGAAACCTGAAAAATATAAATGGGGTTTAAGATCTTTTTAGTTTTAAAGGGGTCATATGATGCTTTTTTAAAGATCATTATTTTGTGTCCATTGAGCAGTTTCTGAAATATGATGTAAGCATCAGCATGAAGGTTTTTGGGACATGGTCTTTGACCTACAGATGAAGAGGAGTTAACGATATTGAGAAGACATTGTATCATGCTTCATGTAAAAAAATAAAAATAATAAGCAGTTTAAGTTGATGTCCGAGCATCAAGCATCAGTCAGTCATTCCCTCGCCATTGTTTTGTTTATAATATGTATAAACATTCACTAAAATGAGTGTCTATTTTAGAACCATTAAACCAATAACAATAAATCTTCCTTCGGATTGTATCATCTCACTTGTAACTCTTTATGTGCAGGACTCACATGCTCAATAATGCAACAGCTGTCGCTTCAGGAGACACAAATGTGATTTCCAGCACCTTCACTCTCGCTGTTCTTCTGTTGAAATCAGCTGCAAACCTCCACCAATCTGCTGAGACCCTCACGACTTTCCAGAAGCTGAAGACTCGCCTCTCACAGGAAGTTAACCAATCCACAAACCTAAACCACGACACACGGCACCGCCGTTATAACACTGAAACTGTCCTACATTACAAAATCACAAGAGCTCTTCTATAGTCTGGTGCTGCTCTGAATGTAAAACAATGTGATTTGTTGATGTTCTGATCGGCTGGAGCAAAATCCACGAACGTGTCATGTGATGCAGAAGTGTACAGGAAGAGATTCGCAAATTAACCTGTGTTAGACTCCACTTTTGTGTTTATGTGAACGCATGTAATCATCATCATCAATGATATTCTGCTGCTTTCAGACAGTTTTCAAACTTGAGAACACAGTCACAGAAGAGGATTTTCTTCACAAATGGAGACATCTGTTTTGCAGCAGTACAGAAATCGTTTTATTTTTTCTTTATATATCCATGGCGTTTAAAAGTTTTAAACAGAAATATTTACAGGAGATCGAGGGGGAAATAAATTCCTTCTGTGTCTGATGTGGGTTGTGTTTCTCTTGTTTCCTGGCTGTCGGGGCACTTCTGAAGAACTTGGCACCTCAGTCAATAATAATGCATATCTGTGAGATCAGATCCGCGTGAGCTGGTGCCACAGGCTCGAGGGAAGAATGCTCTCCACCTTCTCCATGATGAAGTTCAGCGGAGCGAACAGAGTGCTCAGGAACTGAAGGACGAGACAGAAACAAGTGAGATATCTGCAGTCTGAACACTACTCTCAGACAAGATAGCCTCCGTATTAAATTACATTCAATAATATAATCAAAAAAAAAAAGTTGACTGGCTGCCTGTGCATTTTATAGCTAATTTTAACGTCTGAAAAACTTACACAGTAAAACAAAATAAGAGGCAATGGGGTAAGATGTGCCACTTTCTACTCAAACTGTGCTTCAGATCCGGCTGATTATATTTCAGAGTGTCTCGATCAGCTGAAAGCATGGGGAAAAATCTACTATCTGCCCAGTAACACAACTTAGCCACTATAGAGCTGAACTTAGTCAAGATGAACCGCTCATGATTACATGAAGAATTGCCATTTCAAATACACTAAACCAGTCATAAGGGTCAATTTCTCAAAATTGAGATGTATACATCAGCTGAAAGCTGAATAAATGAGCTTTCCATTGATGTATGGTTTGTTAGGATAGGACAATATTTGGCTGAGATACAACTATTTGAAAATCTGGAATCTGAGGGTGCAAAAAAATCTAAATATTGAGAAAATCATCTTTAAAGTTGTTCAAATTAAGTTCTTAGCAATGCATATTACTAATCAAAAATTAAGTTTTGATATATTTACAGTAGGAAATTTACAAAATATCTTCATGGAACATGATCTTTACTTAATATCCTAATGATTTTTGGCATAAAAGAAAAATGGATAATTTTGACCCATACAATGTATTGTTGGCTATTACTACAAATATACCCCAGCGACTTAACACTGCTTTTGTGCTCCAGGGTCACGTATGAGCATGATGAGTTATCTGTGTATCGGTGTCATTCAAACGGTTCTTCATCAGCTGATGACACTGAATGTGTCTGTTGATGAAAACGAAAACTCTTCAACGGTGGTGTGTTTGTCTGGAGTACTGAAGTGTGTGACACTCACGGCTTTAGCAAACACTCCCATGAGCTCTGGGAACTGATGCGTGAGGAGCGCCAGCATAGCTGTGAAGGAGCAGAAATTACCCATCAGACCAGTCCAACAATCAAATTACCCATCAGTCCAACAATAAAAACTACCCATCAGGCCGGTCCAATCAAACTACCCATCATATGATATGGGGTCAGTAAATGTTATGTTTTAAAGAAAAGAATACTTTTACTCATTAAGGATGCAGTAAATTGATCAAAAGTGACAGTAAAACATTTTAACAGAAATTCACATAGAAAACAGCAATTTTAACATATAATAATAATACATCACAATTTTTACTGTATTTTTGACCAAATAAATGCAGCCCTGGTGATCAGAAGAGAGTTCTGTCAAAAACACCAAAAAAAAACAAACAAAAAAAAACATGAATCAATGATCAGCCTGCATGTGCTCAGAAACAGACTGAATCATAAATCAGGGCTCCAGACTAACAGTTGAGAGCAGTGGCACCAGCGCTTTGGGTGATGGCGTTGTGTGGAAGTATTAAAAACAAAGAATTTAATCATAAAATTACTATTGTTTTGCATTAGTAAGTGCAGCTACTAATAAAACTACACATTTATTTCTTGGTAATGTACATTTGACAGTAAAGCACCGAGTTTGAGTTGGGAAACACACAATTTATTAAGTACAGTAAAATGCAGAATCTAATTTTTATATGGAAAATGTTTATATTCTACTCTTATTAAATGTACCATTATTCTTCTATAGTATTATACTGAACTGACCGACAACTTCAGTGATTATAAAAGGAGCGCTCTGTGATTCTGTCGCAAATTAAAGCAAAGTTTGTGTTTTTTCAAGGCACTTTGTGACTTTTCTTACTTCATACGCAAAAAAATGCGCAAAACTTTTGACAAAATTAATTTTCTTGCTGATTTGATATTTTATAATAATGATTTTATAATATCAAAATATAAAGCAAAAAAGTGGAAATGAAGGAATAATAAGCTAATAAGTGCTCCTCTGCTGCCATCTGCTTGTTATTGTGAAATTTGATGTCTTTTTTTATTTTAAATGGTCTAATTATTTGTTTGCCAAATATTGTTTGTATATTTTTGTCATTCCATTAAACATAACATTTAAATTGGATCCTTTTTAGAGTTTTAGAGGAATAGTTGTGTGAGATACTTGAAAGTCATTGAAAAGTGCTTGAATTTCTCTCTCAAAAAACGATGAACTGAGCATCAGCCACACAAACACACACATATCTCTAAAAGAGTGCTTGTGATATGCTGGTACCGTATGATGAATAACACACAAACACAGCATTCACATGCTTTAAACAGCACAACAGGAAGTCTGGGAGAATAACTGCAAAAGCACAGCGTTGAGGATGTTCAGTGAAGCAGGCCTCAAACTCACAAAACATCACTACATGAGCAGCACGAGCGATGCTGTGTGTTTGAGCGTTTATCTGGACGCTCGTCAGCTCTGAGAGAACATCAGCCAGAAGACTCGGGTCAGACGAGATGCTGATTAAGAGCAGACGCGCAGGTGTGCGAGCGCATCACTTTGTTTATGTAAGGGGAATCTAACACAGCCTGGCCTTCACATCCAGCACAACACACAGCAAACGCACAGAAACGCCTGAGGCAGACGAGCGCCAGAGCACAATGCATGCAGGATAAAGAGAGCGGCGGTGGAGGATGGGCTACTTACATGAGGACTCGGTTCCAGATGCTGCGCTGCTGCCGTCCTCCTGCTGCATTAAAGCTGCGGCCCTCCGCAGCCTCTCCAGCTCCAGCGCCGCGTGCGTCTGTCCGACCCGATCCGATGCGGAGCGCTGCAGACCAGAGCGAGTGTTCAGGTCAAGACAAAAGCTCAGCAAACACTCAGTGACGTCACCAGCCGAGAAACAGTGAGCAAACGACCAGAGGCTGACAGACTGATGGTGATGATGGAGAGAGGAGGAGGAGGAACCGACCAATCACAGCGCACGCACACACACAAACACGCACGCACACACACACACACAAATACACGCAAACACACACACAAATACACGCACACACACACACACACACACACACGCACACACAC